GATAGTGAGTATGCAATCATAACACAAGGCTGGCATGGCAGCTGGGACTTCAGACGCAGGGAAGTGGAGGGAAGGGGCCACTGGTGGAGGGAAGAATCACAAGCCACGGACCATCAAGGGAACCTGAAAAATGAACCTGAAAGTAAGGGGTAACCTGAGGGGGATGTAAGGCCAGGGCTTAACCTGAGGGGCTTAAGAGCTAAGGGGGAGGGTCTGTGGCTTGCAAACCGGGCTCCAACCAGTGGCGAGTTCTTAGGGAGAAAACGCGGAAGCACATGCGAAAATGATTCAGGGAGCAACGTGAGGAAAGAGCAGCAAGCAAGGGTGGTTCCAGGGAAGAGAAGGCACTTAGCTGGAGGATGTTGACTCCTTCCCTCCCCTCCCCTGCTGCTGCCGCTGCCGCCGCCGCCGCCGCTGCTGCTGCTGGTGGTGGTTACGTCAAAGTGGCACAGAGCTGCCTCTACTGCGTCAAAGTGAGAGGGACCTGGAAGGGGGCAGAAGGGAAGGAAGGAGAGGAGGCGAGTGAGTGCAGGCCATGAGGCAAGCAAGGGCGAAGCACAAGGATAAGCAGCAGAAGAGGCAGCATCAAAGACCCACAGCAACAAGTGCGGCAGAGAAGAGCTGGACAGAGGCTAACCTTGAAGGGCCAAGCCCAAGCCGATACTCTCCCTTGAGGAGGCGGGATTGCCATGCTGCACTGCTGCCTCCCTCCCTCCCTCCTGCACGGCCACCGGGGAGGGGCGTGGGGAAGCGTCGGTGTTGATCCCAACGCCCCTCGCCTCCACCTGCAATGCACACACACGGAGGTGGTCAGTATGCATGGCCTGGGCACAACACAAGGCAGAGACCGGAACTGCCAAATGTGAAAGAGGGCCACTGGTTGAGGCAAGGCCACACGCCACAGACGCCAAGGGAACCTGCACCTGAGGGGGGGACCTGCACCTGAGAGGGTTACCTGCACTGCACCTGAGGAGATACCTGAAGTGTGGGGGTCTGTGGCATGTGAACCGCGCTGGACCAGTGGCATTGTTTCAAAGGGAAGAGCGTACAACCAGCAAACGAAATGACATGCAAAGAAGGTGAGGGCATGGAGGAGGGTTACTTAGCTGGTGGCGTGAGGGCGAGCTCAAGGTAGCTGCAGCACCACCAGCTGCCTCCCTCCCGACAGCCCTCCTCCGGGTGCCTCCTCCCTGCACGGCCACAGGGGAGGGGCGTGAGGGAGCGTCGGTGTTGACCCCACACCCCTCCCCGCCACCTGCAATGCGCACACACAGAGCTAGTCAGAGCGCAGTGGTGGGAGCAAGTTGAAGGGGAAACTGTGACTTGAAATCCAGCGCAAGGGAAGGGAGGAGGAGCCACTGGTTGAGGCACGGCCACAAACTGCAGACCCAAGGGCACCTGAAAAAAAACCTGAGGGGTGTACCTGCACCTGAAGGGGTTATTATAGGGAATTATCTGAAGTTGGGGGGTCTGTAACATGTGAGTAGTACTCAACCAGTGGCATTGTTTCAAGAAGACGGAGCAACAGCAGATGAAACGAAAGAAATGGAATGGCAGGCAAGGGTGCGGGCATGGGGGAAAGGGTACTTAGCTGATTGTGTGGTGCAGGCGGAGGGGGTGCTTCGATGGAGAGTGGACAGGCGAGCGGGGCTTGAAGGGACGGACCTGCGAGGCAGAGAAGGGAGAGAGAGATGGAGAGATAGTAAGGGGCAGGTGGGAAGGAGTGACTCTTTTAAACGAGAAGACTCTGACAGCAGTGTGAGTGCAAAAACGACAGTGCATGTGACGCCAACCACAGCCCCACAAGAGCCGCTACCAACCTGAACCTGCACCTGAACGTGAACCTGAACCTGAGGGGGAGTGGGCTCGAGTGGAGTGTGGTGGCAGGGGCGATACTGCAACCTCAACCGTTGATGAGGCCGGCGCTGCTGCCCCGCTGCCCGCGCTCCTGCTGCCCGCCCTGGTGCTCCCCTCGCCTGCTGCTCGCCTGCTGCCGTTCCCCTGGCTTGTGAAGGCCTGGCAGGGAAGGGAGGGGAGGGAGGGCAGGGTGGAAAGGGAAGGCAGCCGAAAGTAAGAGGGGTTGCAATGGAGAAAAGTGTCAAACACACGTGCAACAGCAGAAAAGACAGTGCATGTGACGCCAACCACAACCCCACAAGAGCCGCTACCTTACCTGAACCTGCACCTGAACCTGAACCTGAACCTGAGGGGGAGTGGGCTCGAGTGGAGTGTGGTGGCAGGGGCGATACTGCAACCTAAACCGTTGATGAGGCCGCCGCTACTGCCTTGGTGCCTGCGCTCCTGCTGCCCGCCCTGGTGCTCCCCTCGCCTGCTGCTCGCCTGCTGCCGTCCCCCTGGTTTGTGAAGGCCTGGGAGGGAAGGGAGGGCAGGGACGGGAGGGCAGTGTGGAGAGGACTGAAGAGAGAGCGTCGAGTGCTGAACTTGCAAGAATGATGCGTGCATGAGTGGACAGCTGCAGTGGCACACCCGAGAGACCTCGTACCGGCTGAACCAAAGTCAAATGAATACCTGAGGCTGTACCAAAAGAAAGGATACCTGGTACCTTGGGGGAGGGAGGTCTCTGGGATGGCGCACGGCAGCAAGGGAGCGAGCATGGAAGAGCATGCAAGCATGAAATGGAAGGCAGCGAGCAGCGAGGAGCAGAGGAGCAGTGTGGGGCACTTAGCTGTGGCGAGGGTGAGAGGCGAGTGGAGTGGAGAGGAGGCACGGCTGCTGCTGCTGCGTGTAGAGGCGAGGCGAGCGGACGACACTCAGCTGCTTGCCTCCCTCGCCTCTCCGCTTGCCCTTCCGCCCATCCGCCCTCATATCCGTGCATCTGGTGGGAGATTGACGCAGAGGGGCAGCTAGGTTGAGAGGGGACAAGCAGCACATGGAAGGAAGGAGGGCAGGAGGGCGAGGAAAGCAGCATGGCGAGGAAAGCAGCATGGCGAGGAAAGCACAAGGACATGGAGAGCAGTGGAAAACGAGGGCAGAAAACGTGGTGCAAGCGAGAGGAGGGAAGCGAGGGGAGTACCTTGCATGGTCATGGGTGGAGAGGAGGGCGTTGCTCGATGACGTGTGGTGGGTGGAGAGGAGGGCGGACATCCAACAGCGCGTGGCAGAGCCTGATGACGCCCGCTTGCTCTCAGTTGACATTGGTCCTCGCCTTGGCCTGCTCGATCTCCACTCGCTGCCGCTCAGGATGGTGCGTCTGCCAAGTCACGCGACACAGGGAGTTAAAATTGCTGGGAAAAGGAAAATCGCGGGTAGAAAACACAAAGATTTCATGAAAGAGAAAGCGAGCTCCAAAGCTTCCTTACTTGGTGACGAGTGTAAGGGATGGCAAAGCCGCGAAGTGTAACGGATGGCGAAGGCGCTAAGTGTAACGGATGGCGAAGTCGCGACGGTTCAAGTTGACGTGGAAGAGCGAGCAATGGCGGATTGGAATGTCGGACGACTTGAAATGGTTGTGCGTTCGCCTGCAAGTCGCGAGAGACACGATGATTGCCTGCTTTTTCGAGAATCTCGAAGCTGACGAATCAACGAATAAACTATCCCGATCCAGAGCTATTTTTACCGGAATTGCGAAGTTCGACGCGGAACAGGCGAGGTTGGCGACGACCAGCGAAAATCGACGTCGAAACCGAAATTTCACGAAAATCCCGAAAATCGGACGTCGGAAATCGACATTTCCACGTGAAATCCCAAAAAACGACGTTGTGCGGTGAAGGCTAACGTCGAATAACGAAGACTGGCTTGTACGAGCAAAATCTGGTCCAATTCCGCAGCAAGAATGCCGTGTAAACTCCACAGAACGCTCTGGACCGAGGAGAGTACGACGTCGTTTTGGCAAGGAACGTCGTGAGCCGAGAAGCTAGAGTGAGAAAAAGGCAGCATTACGCGAATCAGGCGGACTAGAAATGTCAATATCTCAAAATGTCGCTCTGGAAACCCCCTGGTCGAAATGTCTCTCCGGAAATTCTCTGGTTGGAATGTCGTTGGTCGAAAATGCCAGTGGTGATTGGAATGCCACAGCCAACCCCAACTGGGTGAGGGGGACTGGGGTTGGGTGCTCAACTCTCGCGTTTCTTTGAACGGCCACCGAAAAGGGACAAAAAGGAGCGGTCCTCCTTGTTTTAGGCCGCGCGGCTCCGATAGGATTCGGACATTGGGGTTGGTTTCTGGAGGGATGGCCGTTGGCAGCACAAAAAGCGACCGGGTGAGCAAGAATCGTCGGATCGTTTTCTTACGAAACGGATCTAGGGATCAGCTCGATCGAATGGACGCTGTCGACTGGAGGGAAAAGCAAACCGTCATTTCGAAACGTAACACACAGACTCTAGCCGGTTTCGCGGTAGATGCCTAGCCAATCAAATGCGAGCAAGGCCAGCCGTTGGAAGGAAGCGGGGTTCGATGGAGTTTGGGTTGAATGGGCTTCTGCTCACCCCACACGTTAGAGAGAACCTTGCAGGTTGGTGTCAGTGTGGGGGAAGGATAGGCTGTTGAAGATGTAGCGAAGTGGTTTAACGAACTCTTTCGCTTAAACTACGAAATCTGCGAAGTGCATATATTGTAACGGACCATCTTGCCTTTCGGGATTCAGAACGGGCGTGGCACGTCTGACCTGGACATCCTGAAGATCTTTACTAGTATCTGACAGGGGAGTACGGAACGTAGGATCTGCCACGAGGAGCGCTGTGATTCGAAAGGCGCTACATGAAATAGAATACGTACAGTCGAGCTTGATGCCACCACCATATCCGCTGCACCACAATCGCTTGACCTCATAAGAGCTGATCAGCTATAACGCAAGCAGCACTTCTGTGGGTTCAAGTCACACGAGCTTGTACATCCGTGTATAAGTTTCAAAGAAGTCACTTCCCATCCGCCTAAATTCAAACACAAGACTCGACGTTTACGTCGGAAGGGTTGCGTAGAGTTGTATCCCTTTTGTAAGAAACATTACGGTACTTATAGAAGTATCTACTATAGCGGGTTTTATGTTTGCAACTACTGTACCGTATCTGATGTGTCAGCAAGTGGCCAAGTTTTGTATGTACTGTACATAGGATTTGGTGCCTCCTCCTGCGCTGGCAGAAATTTCTTGCCAGCTCCACCACGACCCCAACCAAGCCCAACCAAGCCCAAGATATCTGTCCCTTTCACAGCTGTCAAACTCGAATTCGAGGCTTTTCATTTCTTGGTTCTTGTTCTTGGTTCCTCTCGAGAAGCACCTGCTTTGCTCACTCCATTTCCTCCCCGCCCCAATTTCTTCTCTAGCCATTTCTCCTAACACCCCGCCGTCGCTACCTCCCACCTAGCCGTCGCTCTCCCTCCCATTCCCCGTATCCTCTCCCTCACTCTCCGCCGTCACCTCTCCCTCCCACTCCGCCATCGCCTCTTCCTCCCACCTCACAATCACTCCGTCCCACCCCGCCATCTCCTCTCCCTTACCTCCCCACCGTCGCCTCTCCCTCCTCCCCACTGTTGCCTCTCCCTCCTCCGCGCCGTCGCCTCTCCCTCCTCTGCGCCGTCGCCTCTCCCTCCTCCGCGCCGTCGCCTCTGCCTCCTCCGCGCCGTCGCCTCTGCCTCCTCCGCGCCGTCGCCTCTCCCTCCTCCGCGCCGTCGCCTCTCCCTCCTCCGCGCCGTCGCCTCTCCCTCCTCCGCGCCGTCGCCTCTCCCTCCTCCGCGCCGTCGCCTCTGCCTCCTCCGCGCCGTCGCCTCTGCCTCCTCCGCGCCGTCGCCTCTCCCTCCTCCGCGCCGTCGCCTCTCCCTCCTCCGCGCCGTCGCCTCTCCCTCCTCCGCGCCGTCGCCTCTCCCTCCTCCGCGCCGTCGCCTCTGCCTCCTCCGCGCCGTCGCCTCTCCCTCCTCCGCGCCGTCGCCTCTCCCTCCTCCGCGCCGTCGCCTCTCCCTCCTCCGCGCCGTCGCCTCTCCCTCCTCCCCGCCGTCGCCCTCCCTCCTACCCGCCGTCCCGCCCGGAGCGCAAGCGCGGATTGGTGCGCAAGCGCAGATTGGTGCGCAATCGCGGGTTGGTGCTTAAGCGCGGGTTGGTGCGCGAGCGGGGATTGTTTTCTGAGGCACCGTGGTTATCAGGTGCGTTCCCGGTCATTTCATCCTCTCTCCCCCCTCTGAAAATTCCTTTTTGTTGTTTTTTTTGCTCTCTTCCTAAATTTTGTGTGTCAGTTGGTCTCCTCTTGCATGGCACTTTCATTTGAAGAAGGGGAGAGACGGAGCGCGCGAGAGAGAGCGTGAGGGTGCGCATGAGAGAGCGCGTCAGAGAGCGCGTGAGAGAGAGAATGTGCGTGAGAGTGCGAGAGAGAGAGCGCGAGAGAGTGTGCCTGAGAGTGGGCATGAGGGTGCGCGTGAGAGAGCGCGTGAGAGAGCGCGTGAGAGAGCGCGTGAGTGAGTGCGTGAGAGAGAGCGCGTGAGAGAGTGCGTGAGAGTGCGCGTGAGAGTGCGCGTGAGAGTGCGCGTGAGAGAGTGCGTGAGAGAGCGCGTGAGAGAGCGCATGAGAGGGCACGTGAGTGAGTGCGTGAGAGAGAGCACGTGAGAGAGCGCGTGAGAGTGCAAATGAGAGAGCGAGTGGGAGAGCGCGTGAGAGAGCGTTTGAGAGCGCATGAGAGGGCGCGTGAGTGAGTGCGTGAGTGAGTGCGTGAGAGAGAGCACGTGAGAGATTGCGTGAGAGTGCGAGTGAGAGAGCGCGTGAGAGAGCGCGTGAGAGAACGCGTGAGAGAGCGTGTGAGGGTGCGCATGAGAGAGCGCGTGAGAGAGCGCGTGAGAGAGAGAATGCGCGTGAGAGTGCGAGAGAGTGAGCGCAAGAGGTAGTGCGTGAGAGTGTGCCTGAGAGTGCGCATGAGGGTGTGCGTGAGAGAGCGCGTGAGAGTGTGCGAGAGAGTGTGCATGAGAGAGCGCGTGAGAGAGAAAATGCGCAAGAGAGTGCGCGAGAGGGAGTGCGACGGAATGCGTGAGAGCCCGTGAGAGAGCGCATGAGAGATTGCGTGAGAGAGCATGTGAGAGAGCGCGTGAGAGTGCGCATGCGAGAGCGCGTGAGAGAGTGCGTGAGGGAGCACGTGAGAGAGCGCGTGAGAGTGCGTGAGAGCGCGTGAGGGAGCGTGTGAGAGCGCGTGGGAGTGCGTGTGAAAGTGCGCGTGAGAGTGTGCGTGAGAGTGGGCGTGAGAGTGCGAGTGAGAGAGCGCGAGCGCGTGAGAGAGCGCGTGAGAGTGCGCGTGAGAGAGCGCGTGAGAGAGTGCGTGAGAGAGCGCGTGAGGGAGCGCGTGAGAGAGCGAGTGCGCGTGAGAGTGCGCGTGAGAGAGCGCGTGAGAGAGCGCGTGAGAGAGCGCGTGAGAGAGCACGTGTCAGAGAGCGCGTGAGAGAGTGCGTGAGAGAGTGCGTGAGAGAGCGCGTGAGAGAGCGCGTGAGGGAGCGCGTGAGAGAGCGAGTGCGCGTGAGAGTGCGCGTGAGAGAGCGCGTGAGAGAGCGCGTGAGAGAGCGCGTGAGGGAGTGCATCAGAGAGCGCGTAAGAGAGCGCGTGGGAGTGCGCGTGAGAGCGCGTGGGAGTGCGCGAGAAAGAGCGTGTGACAGAGGGAATGCGCAAGAGAGTGCGCGAGAGAGAGCACGTGAGGGAGTGCGTGAGAGCCCGTGAGAGAGCGCTTGATAGAGCGCGTGAGAGAGTGCGTGCGAGAGTACGTGAGAGAGCACGTGAGAGAGCGCGTGTCAGAGAGCGCGTGAGAGAGTGCGTGAGAGAGTGCGTGAGAGAGCGCGTGAGAGAGCGTGTGAAGGACCGCGTAAGAGATTGCATGCGCGTGAGAGTGTGCGAGAGAGTGTGCATGAGAGAGCGCGTGACAGAGAGAATGCGCAAGAGAGTGCGCGAGAGGGAGTGCGACGGAATGCGTGAGAGCCCGTGAGAGATTGCGTGAGAGAGCATGTGAGAGAGCGCGTGAGAGTGCGCGTGAGAGAGCGCGTGTGAGGGCGAGTGAGAGTGCGAGCGAGAGAGCGCGTGAGAGAGTGCGTGAGAGAGCGCGTGAGAGAGCGTGTGAAGGACCGCGTAAGAGATTGCATCGAAGAGCACGTGAGAGAGCGCGTGAGAGTGTGCGAGAGAGAATGCATGAGAGAGCGCGTGAGAGAGAGAATGCGCAAGAGAGTGCGCGAGAGGGAGTGCGACGGAATGCGTGAGAGTCCGTGAGAGAGCGCATGAGAGATTGCGTTAGAGAGCATGTGAGAGAGCGCGTGAGAGTGCGCATGCGAGAGCGCGTGAGAGAGTGCGTGAGGGAGCACGTGAGAGAGCGCGTGAGAGAGTGCGTGAGATAGAGCGTGAGAGAGTGCGTGAGAGAGCGCGTGAGGGAGCGTGTGAGAGCGCGTGAGAGTGCGTGTGAAAGTGCGCGTGAGAGTGTGCGTGAGAGTGCGCGTGAGAGTGCGAGTGAGAGAGCGCGAGCGCGTGAGAGAGCGCGTGATAGTGCGCCTGAGAGAGCGCGTGAGGGAGCGCGTGAGAGAGTGCGTGAGAGAGCGCGTGAGGGAGCGCGTGAGAGAGCGAGTGCGCGTGAGAGTGCGCGTGAGAGAGCGCGTGAGAGAGCGCGTGAGAGAGCGCGTGAGAGAGCACGTGTCAGAGAGCGCGTGAGAGAGTGCGTGAGAGAGTGCGTGAGAGAGCGCGTGAGAGAGCGCGTGAGGGAGCGCGTGAGAGAGCGAGTGCGCGTGAGAGTGCGCGTGAGAGAGCGCATGAGAGAGAGCGTAAGAGAGCGCGTGAGAGAGCGCGTGAGGGAGTGCGTCAGAGAGCGCGTAAGAGAGCGCGTGGGAGTGCGCGTGAGAGAGCGCGTGGGAGTGCGCGAGAAAGAGCGCGTGACAGAGGGAATGTGCAAGAGAGTGCGCGAAAGAGAACACGTGAGGGAGTGCGTGAGAGCCCGTGAGAGAGCGCGTGAGAGAGCGCGTGAGAGAGTGCGTGAGAGAGTACGTGAGAGAGCACGTGAGAGAGCGCGTGTCAGAGAGCGCGTGAGAGAGTGGGTGAGAGAGAGCGTGAGAGAGCGCGTGAGAGAGCGCGTGAAGGACCACATAAGAGATTGCATCAAAAAGCGCGTGAGAGAGCGCGTGAGAGTGTGCGAGAGAGTGTGCATGAGAGAGCGCGTGAGAGAGAGAATGCGCAAGAGAGTGCGCGAGAGGGAGTGCGAGGGAATGCGTGAGAGCCCGTGAGAGATTGCGTGAGAGAGCATGTGAGAGAGTGAGAGTGCGCGTGAGAGAGTGCGTGAGAGCGCGAGTGAGAGTGCGAGCGAGAGAGCGCGTGAGAGAGCGCGCAAGAAAGCGCGCGAGAGAGCGCGTGAGAGAGAGAGAATGCGCGAGAGAGTGCGGGTGAGGGAGCGCGTGAGGGATCGCGTGAGAGAGTGCGTGAAAGAGCGTAAGAGAGCGTGTGCGAGAGTGCGTCAGAGAGCGCAGGAGAGAGCGCGTGAGAGAGTGCGTGAGAGAGCGCGTGAGAGTGCGCGTAAAAACGCGCGTGAGAGAGCGCATGAGAGAGCGCGTGAGAGAGCGCGTGAGAGAGCGCGTGAGAGAGTGCGTGAGAGAGTGCGTGAGTGAGCGAGTGAGAGCGCTTGAGTGTGCACGTCAGAGAGTGTCAGAGAGCGCGTGAGAGTTCGTGTGAGAGAGCGCGTGAGAGTCCGTGTGAGAGCGCGTGAGCGAGCGTGAGAGGGCGCGTGTGAGAGTTGACTTCTCTGTTTTTGCTTGTGCAGGGCGCGTGTTGACGTCTCTGTTTTTGCTTTGTGCAGGGCGCGTGTGTGCTAACTTCTCTGATTTTGCTTTGTGCAGGGCGCGTGTGTGTTGACTTCTCTGATTTTGCTTTGTGCAGGGCGTGTGTGTGTTGACTTCTCTGGTTTTGCTTTGTGCAGGGCGCGTGTGTGTTGACTTCTCTGGTTTTGCTTTGTGCAGGGCGTGTGTGTGTTGACTTCTCTGGTTTTGCTTTGTGCAGGGCGTGTGTGTGTTGACTTCCCTGATTTTGCTTTGTGCAGGGCGCATGAGCTGAGAAGGGAGATGAGGGAGGGAGTGGGATGGAGATGAGGGAAGGAGGGAGGGAGGGTTGTAGGGAGGGGAAGGTGGGATAGGCCAGCAATCATTTCTGCATTTCTGAATTTTATTCATGACGGTTGTGTCTTTTTTACGGTCTCTGTATCTATCTGTGCTTGTTTGCGTGTGTGTTAGTGTGTGCTGTACATGTGCTTATGCGTGTATGTACCGTACGTGCGCGTGTGCGCCTATGTGAGATATGTGTGTGTGTTTGTTTGCACCTGTCTGTCTCGAGGCGTGTGCTAAAGTGCCTTGTATATGCAAGTGATGTGTGATGTTAAAGTGCGTCGGATCTGCATTTGAGGTGGGGATCGTTGTTGGGGCAGCATTGCTCGCCTTAGCACACCGGAACCACCTCTGCTGTAGCACCGATGCATTTTAGCATTCACTCACAGTTGTTTGTGTCAAACTTATATGCTATAGTCTTTCTAGGCTGTAGTGGGGTAGACAGTATGGGGTACAGCTTTCTAGGGTTGCATATTTGTACCCAACTCATTTCCTAGTTCATCATTCATTCCTCATTTCTTCACATGGTATAGAGCAGGTTCCCTAGTGGGAACTGTTCCTAGGGCCCACCACTGAAAATCGATTAAATCTTTTTTCTGCCCGGAGAGCGAGTCGCTCCTGACCGAGGCGCGCCCTGTGTGCCGTCCTCCCCTTAGCGGCCCCTCGCGGCCCCACCCTACACGGCCCCGTCGCCGCCCTCTCGCGGCCCCGTCGCCGCCATTAGCGGCCCCGCCGCCGCCCTTAACGGCCGCGTCGCCGCCCTTCGCGGCCCCGTCGCCGCCCTCCGCGGCCCCTTCGCCGCCCGCAGCGGCCCCGTCGCCGCCCTCAGCGGCCCCGTCGCCGCCCTTGCGGCCCCGCCGCTGCTCTTGCGGCCCCGTCGCCGCCCTCTCGCGGCCCCGTCGCCGCCCTCTAGCGGCCCCGTCGCCGCCCTCAGCGGCCCTGTCGCCGCCCTCAGCGGCCCCTTCGCCGCCCTTGCGGCCCCGTCGCCGCCCTCTCGCGGCCCCGTCGCCGCCCTCTCGCGGCCCTTTCGCGGCCCCGTCGCCGCCCTCTCGCGGCCCCGTCGCCGCCCTCTCGCGGCCCCGTCGTCGCTCTCTCGCGGCCCTCCTGCCGCCCTCTTGCGGCCGCCGCCGAGCCGCCGAGCCGCTGAGCCGCCGCCGCCGCCGTCGAGCCGCAGCTGTCGAGACGCCGCCGTCGAGCCGCCGCTGTCGAGCCGCCGCCGCCGCCGAGCCGCCTTCGAGCCGCCGCCGCCGCCGCCGAGCCGTTGCTGCCGCTGTCGAGCCGCCGACGCCGCAGTTCCAGCCCTGTTCCTGCCGGCGCGCCCCGGCCCTACCCACCCGGACTGGTGAGATCACTCCCGAGCAGCGCCTTTGCCACTACGCTGCCCCTAGCCTACTGCTCTCACTGCTAGACTGCTGCTGTCATGGCTACCCCCAGTGTCCTTACCTTTGATGCTGAGGGTCGGGCTGTTGACTTTGAGGTCTGGGTCGATGACCTGCAGCTTTTCCTACAGTGCGATAGGACAGACGGACTCTCCCTGTTCGATCTCACCTCTGGTGCCTCTCCTGCCCCTCCTGCCGATGCTGACAGCACTGTTCGCTCACAGTGGGCCACACGCGATGCTGCTGCCCGTCTTGCTGTGCATCGTTACTTACCGACCGCTGAGCGTGCGCATTTTAGTCAGTACAAGAGTGCTAAGACCTTGTACGACGCTGTAGTTGCACGCTACTCTTCCCCTGCCACTGCTGCCCTTAGCCGCCTCATGCTGCCGTACCTGTTCCCTGACCTCGCCGCCTTTCCCACGGTCGCTGACCTCATTACGCACCTTCGCACTAGTGACACCCGCTACCGCGCTGCGCTTCCTGCTGAGTTCTGCGCCAAGAACCCCCCCCCCCATGTACATCACCCTCTACTACATAGTCACCCGGCTCCCTGACTCCCTTCGCTCGGTCAGGGACCACTTCCTCTCTGTTTGCCCCACCACACTCACCGTTGACCTCCTCGAGGAGCGCCTCCTGGCAGCAAAGAAGAGTATAGTCGCTGTAGGAGCCTCTCGTGGTGACCCTCGTACCCCCTTCTTTGAGGGGTGCTCCCCCTCCCCCCTCTTGCCCTCTGTTGCCTCTGCTGCTGCGGCCGACCTCGTTGGCCTCGAGTCGGTCGGAGCTGCGTCTGCCCCTAGCGGGAGACGCCGCACCGGCAAAGGCAAAGGGGGCAAGGGTGCTGGAGGAGCTGGCGGGGGCGGTGGAGTTGGCGGTGGAGGCGGTGGAGGGGGTGGGGGTGGTGGTGGGAGTGGTGGCGGGGGTGGAGGCGTCGGTGGCGGTGGGAGCGGAGGTGGCGGAGGCGGCGGAGGTGGCGGCGGCGGCGGTGGAGCTGGTCGCGGCTCTGCGCAGAGGGGTGGCTCCGGTGGTGGTCAGCGCCAGCAGCAGCAGCGCACTCGTGAGACCCCGTCCCCCCAGCAGCTTCGTGAGTGGTACGCTGGGCGTCAGCGGGGTGGGGGTGCTGGTCCCTGTACCTACGTCCTTCGTACCGGTGACCGCACTGGTGAGCAGTGCGGAGGCCCGCACTCCACCCAGCGCTGCTTCGGCCGCCTGACGGACGCTTGGCGTCACCAGTTCCCTAACGCCACGGAGATCCCTCGCTGGGGCGAGCTGTCTAGGGCGGGGGTTGCTATCTTTGATCTTGACTATGATGCTATTCTTGCTGCCATGTATGCTGTGTCTACTAGTGATGAGGGTGACTGTTACCTGTGTGTTCCGCCTGACCTGTGCATTGGTGAGGCTGCTGCTCTAGGTGCTGGTGAGGCTGCTGCTCTAGGTGCTAGTGAGTCTGCTGCCCCAGGTGCTGGTGACTCTGCTCTCTCAGGTACCACGTCGGCTCAGGCCTCCCACACCTTCACCCTTGACTCGGGTGCTTCCCGCTCCTTCTTTCGAGACCGCACCACACTCACGCCGCTTAGTCGGCCAGTTGCGGTCTCCCTGGCAGACCCCTCTAGGGGTCCTGTCCTTGCCGACTTCTCCACTGTCTTACCGTGTCCGGCGGCCCCTTCTGGCACCCTGTCCGGTCTTTACCTCCCCTCGTTCTCTACGAACTTGGTGAGTGGTGCTGATCTACAGGATGGGGGGGTTCACCAGTTCACTCCTGCGAGTCAGCGATTGACCCACTGCACGTGTGCTCGGACGGGCCGACACTTGGCCACGTTTACCCGTCGGCCGGGGTCGAGCCTGTACACACTGACTACAGGGTCGCCTCCGGTTGCTGCGTCTGGTCAGGTAGCTGCGTCGGGTCAGGTGTCTACTGCGGCGTCCAGGTCTGGTCCTGAGTCTGCCCCCTGCTCGTGTCGTCTCTTGTCTCACCAGACTCTCCTCTGGCACCACCGCCTTGGTCACCCCTCCCTGTGTGAGAGTACGACGGCTTATGCCAGCTATGCTTGCTTGCCTTTACTTTATTATGCTATTTCTAGCATAGGATAATCATATGCATGCATGAATTGCTTGATTTCCTAGGCTAGGTGCTTTCCTATATTTTATTATAGTTATAGCACCGAGCTAGGTTGCGTGCACCGAATTCTGGCTTTTCGGTTGCCACCGAATTGCCTCCTACCGAATTCGGTAAGGATCTGTTCGGGACGCTTCGCGACCCGCGGAACCTTCGCGTAACACCTGGTTACGGGGCCTTGTGTCGAGCCTATATAGTGCCTCGTGTTGTACCCAGGTGATCATTCAATTACAATGCTCTTTTCTGAGCTTGATCCTAGACCCTCACACTTGGTAATCAGAGCGGGTTTACACGCGAGGTCTTCAACCGCTTAGTTCCGGCCTTTAAAAAACCGCGGGGGCGACGACGAAAGCGCCGATACGGATATGTAAAACCAGTTCCGCGCAATTTTTCAAAGTCCCCCTCGATTCGGTTTTCGAACACCCCTCAGATTTACTGGTGGAAAGGTTGGAGTTTCGACCGTTCGATCGAGTTTCATCTCAACGGCCCAGAGAATTTCGCCCAAAAACGTTGGAATTTGGAGCGTCGGATCGATTTTCTCTTCAACGGCCAAGATCGGACGCGAATTTCGCCCAGGGGAGATTTACGCGACCTACAGAATTTGCGCTCGTCGATCCTATAGTCAACTTGACTCGCAGTAAGTCGACCAGCACCGAGATTTCGATTATTTTGGTCGCGCATCTTCCTGTAATCGCCAAATGGAGGGAAAAGGAGATATTTCAGTACAGAAAATCGCGGAGTTACGTGCTGAGCATAAGAAAATACATGCGGCGCTCCCACGACTCGAAAAACTCCTTGCGAACTAGTCGGCAACCGCCACAGCAGCAGCGACAAGAGTAGCAGCAGCAGCGGCGGCAACACCGAAAATTCTACATGCGACAACGGCAGCAGCTACAGTTAACCTTGAAGCAGTGAAGCCGAGGCTACCGGAGGCGTTCGATCCTACAGTAAAA